ATAATTTTCTTGACAGCGTTCGTTTTTCTCAGGACATACTCAGTATGAGTGTTTCAGGTAAATTTATGATCTTTAATAACCCCTAAATGCTTAACACCAGAGCTCCACGGAAATAGCAGTTTTAAATATGTGGAGTGGGGCGCTTTTGAAATATTAACTCTTCTTCTTGAAGTTATTATTAATGCACTCTTAGTAGCATTGATCGTTATCTTCCAATCAGTAAACCAGTGTACAAATAAAGTTGTAAGTGTTAATGGCCAGTGCCGTCGATTTAAAGCCGCAGAATATAGCTGTGTCGGCCGCATATTGGGCTAGTGATACAGTAGTTGTGCGGAGGTTTCCTTCATATAAGCGCGAATGTAAGAGGCGATAAAAGTGATCCTTGAGGGGCACCAATGTTTAAAATCTTCTAGATTTGAATTAATCGTCCCTATATGGACTGTGAATTGTCTGTGTAATAATAATTTTTTGTCATCTGGACTAAGGACCTAGGAAAGTTAAACCTGGTCGTCTTATAAACAAGTTCTCTGTTCCAAAACTTTTTCGAAGACTTTCTCAACTTCTAAAAATACTATTGCGGTATATTTTCGATCGTTAAAGGCTATAGTAACACTTTCTGAAAGCCTTAAAAATCTTTTGAGATGTGGAGTGTTTTAATTGACACTCCGGAAAAATGTTCTTTTCTTTTCTTTTTTTTTCGCTAAGTTTTTTAACCTTGCAGGTATCACACTTCTGCTAGTTTGCCCATGCAGGATAGTAAACTTATAGGAGGATAGTCTAATAAAGCTTCCTGGTTTTTTTAATTTGTAAATAAAAACAACTTCTGCTAACTTCCAACGATTTAGAAAGTAGGATTATAGTTAACATCGAGTTAAAAGCTCGTTTACATAGGCAATAGCCTCAGTAGTAAAATGTTTGCTCATTAGGTTTTATATTTTGTTGGGCCCACATTCTTTTTGGTCTTGAACGAGTTGATTATATTAATAATTTCTTCGCAACTAGTAACAAAGATTGACTAAAACATGTTTAGAGGCCGCCTTATACCAAGGGCCCTATTCTTGGTTCGTAGTGAAAACTCTCGGAAGACGAGGGCAAGTGTTGAGCAAAAACGTTAGATTTATCTCTAGCAGTATGTGCTACGCCATATTCATAATATTTAGGTGGTAGGCATAATAAATTGCGGCAACGAGAAACCCGAGAACTTAAACATTTTAGCTTTTGTTCCCGAATTTGTTAAGTTTTATCAATTCCTCCTTTAATAAATTATTAACTTTGATGAAGGCTTTTTTGTCCCTAAAAAAGCCTGTCTTTATATAATTTGATTTAAGGCAGTCTCTCCTTTATTCACCTGCATTTATAAGTTGAAGGATGTAGAAAGCTTAGAAGTGGAGTCAGAATTGTAAATACTTCGGGTTGTTAACCCTAGATTGACTGCATCAATGATGCTTTGGCTCAGATGACGGGAAAGTATAACTTAAATATTTTCGTACAGTAATATTTGAATAATTGGCCAATGAGTTATTTTTAAGATATTGGAGCCTTCAGGAAAAAGAGTGTCTCCCAGCTCGATAAGAACTATGTTCGGGGATGAGAACTTGTAAATAGAATTTATACTTGCAGTGACGTATATATTTTTTTAAAAATGCAATCTCCAATACATAAATGCTACCCCATGGTGTACTGTGAGTTGGGTCATCTGGCCCAAGAATAAGGAATCGGCTAAATTAGCCCAATTATCCATTCCCCATTTCTATTCGAACAGCGGCTGTTACAGTGGGTGTGCTTGCAATTGAGATCTCCAGCCGTCAAAACTGAGCTCGATAAGTCATAAAAATATTCGGTCCCCATAAATAACTTTTTGCTCGGGGAATTGTAAGCTGATATCACTGACACGTCGCCATTCTTTTGTAATTTGATGGTTATTCCAATTACTTCTAAGCTCCGAAGACTGCTTATATATAACTCCGTTTTTTGGATACCTTTTTTAACTAAAATTGCTGCCCCTCCTTTTTTCGAGGCCATGCGATTGCACCTATAAGTGATATAATTAGGTAATTTACTGATTACCTTCTTTCAGGTTACCAAATGAGTATAATATCAATTTGGTAACGAGTAACAAGTTCAAGTATTTCATATTCTCATTTCTTAAGCCGATCGCGTTTCAAGATAGAAATCCTAATATTTTTAAATCGGTATCCATTATTCATTTCCGACTGTTAAGTTTCTCGAATAAATTGCCTATTGATTTCGAATTCTGATTACTAGCTTCAGTTAGAGAGATTACTACTTGATTAATTACTAAATCATCAAAGTTAGTAGAAGTTGAAGGCCCCTATCACAACTCGACATTTTGCGAGCGTAGTTCATCCCTGCTTCTATAGATCAAACTCTGATATTTTCCTTATTGTTAATTCTTCCAATCTTTCTAAGTGGACCGTTGTTAGGGTGAAAGAGGCATCCTCTGTAGTTTGCAGTGGGATCGCCATTACCGTTTGCACACCATGGCTTTTCATCTTTTTCTTTAAGACCTAACTTCATGGCATGATCTTAACCACCTTTAACTGTAGCTAAAGAAAAAGAACTTTTTGCTATGTCCGAATAATTGGCATCCAAAGCATTGACCAATCCTACCACTAACCTTTAAAGTTTCCGAGGAGGCTGTAATGTAGCCTATATTTGTTAAGTTATATATACTTTTTTCAGATTGAGGTAATTTAACAAGGATCAAAGGCAGTGGAGTTCTAAGCTTCTCACTGCGTCGCATTCCGTGACTGCAGAAGGATAAAACCCTTGAATTTTCAGCTCTTGTTCAACCCCTTACAGGTTACTGATTACTTTGTTAACCACTTGTCGTCTAGGTTCAATTTTGTGATTTCGGAGAATAACAAATCCATTTTAAACATCAGAATTTTGCCTGTTAAAGGGTTAATATAGTCGGAGTCTAGCTCAGTAAAGACGCCTCGCAAGATCACCTTTATCTCTTTTTCAGAAGGTAATTGAGAAGTATAAAATTCATGACCATTGGCGTCACGTAGGGCTGTAAGTTTTCTAAAGTCATTTCGAAAAGTACCATAATTTTGATGCCATGTACCGCCTCTTTAGCGGAGTTAATAAATATGTTATTAGCTTTAAATTGTTAGGATAAACTGATTATTTTTTAAGAATAATGAGAGGGGAGGGATATTTGTTACTATTTTTGTTTTTATAAATGTTTTTAATATTATTACTGTTATTATTATTAACATTGTTAGTACTTGTACTATATATGAAGTATTAATTGAATTATTAATCTTGTTTTTCTTATTTTGAGTTCTGTTTAAGATTAAAATTTTAAGATATCTATCGGTAAAGTTTGAGCTTACGGTATGTTCGTTATTAAAAGTACCTTGGTCAGTATCCATTAGAGAAAGAAAAATATTTCCTATTAGAAGTTCTAAGGCTGGCCCTCTCCTTTTCGTTTTTTAGAAGCCTGTGCCTGCGAAAGAGTCTATTTATTATTTCTCAGTTTCGCAATAAGTTTGTTTGCAGAATCTAATTTTCTTTGCAGATCTTTGAGGGCAGCTAGCAAATTAGCTACTATATCCTGGAAGCACTCTCTTTCTATAACTCTCTTGCGACTAAACTATAGCGCCTAAACGCTAAAAATAAAGTAAAACAATTAAATATAAGCTATCAAGCAACTTTCAGACTATATGAAGTTATAATGAAAACAACGAAACTAGCCTTTTCATTATTAAAAAGTTTAAAAATGCAGATTGGTAAGGTAGGAACTTTTTGCTATTGGTTCAAGTTTCATGTATTTCCTATAGCAACTCTTCATCCTGTTAAAATGTAAATACCGCGCATTAATGAACAGTTTGTAATCTTAAAAAGAGTTTGGTGTTTTAGTTGTTAGTTGTATATGCTCTTCCTAAGTTAACATCTTCTTATGGACACGCATTTTCAATATACCTAATCTCTTACATAAAGACCAGCAGCTTTAAAAAATAAACCAGAACTTCTAAGGTATGGCCAGTGCGCTCTGCGTGGGTATTTGTGCAGTGTGCTTTGACTCCACTTCAAATTGTTAAAGTTAGGATTACTACCGATTTGTATGCACTGAGGTAGTATTAGTACTTGCTCTAACCAGATTACTTGTTTAAACTTGTATGGCGTATTGGTGAATGGATATACTTTTTTTTGTAATGTAAATTCCTTGCATTTAGACGCAAAGATGAACAAAAGGATTTTTAGCGGATTATCGTCTTTTCATGTTGTGTAACTCTGACCTCGAAGTTTTACTCTATAGGTTTTTGTATATGCTTTTTAATATAAATTGGGTCCCAAGTGCAGATTTATTAAGTGATTCATAGTACCCAATTCCTTTTCTCTATATTTTATTAACCAAGTGTTTGCCATGACAAGTTAAAGTTAATCCATTGTCGAAGGGGTGAGAGTTCAAAAGGGTTGTTTACTTCAGTACAAGGAGTAATTAAATATTTGAAAGTCTTTAAGTCGCGCATTCCTTAAATATATCGATTTTGACTATATTTAACTGTTAAATATATATTTAAAAAAATTATGCGGGAGTTGTGCAACTACAAACCTTAATTTAATTGTAAAAGTTATACTTTCTAAATGGAATTACATTCGTAAAAAACTTAGTCCTTAACTAAACAGAAATTACCTCCAAGGTTTAATTCTTGCCATGTATATTTGAAAATGACAAGCTTGAAGTGAAAAGCGTAGCTGCAAAGCTCGTATCATATATCTTAAAAATTAGGTTGAATATAGGAATTCATAGGCCAAAACGTTTATGGATTAAAAATTTAGTTTAAGGTTTTTTAAATAAAGTGAACTCGAATGGGGTTTCTATAAAATTACTAAAAATAAATAATTTAAGTTACCTTTAAAAATTTAGTGTGCTTAAAAATTACGAAGAGTGGGTAAAAATTCTACAAGTTAACGTAATACCCTTTTAAAATATAACAAGGCAAATGTAAAAGTTTTATTACTAATACCTACGAACTATGTTTTACTGCGTGCAAGAAAGAAAAAATGCTTTCCACTACCAGTTGGGGGGTGTACTCAGTGTGCCTCCCTTCTGCTTTATCGCTTAGTATCACCGCGAAGGTGTGGTTGTACATCCCTATAAACTGATCATTGGTGGTTTCCTCCTGCACTCTTACGCAAGTAGGGCTTCCACCCTCTTTTTTTGCGTCGCTGAGCGGTAGGTCTTTATTTGCGGCAGTTGCTCCAGTGCTTTCAACTACGTTGTATCCCTTGGTCGACAAAAATTCGTCATCGCCAACCAACAATTCTGTGAAGTGGTTAAGAAAGAAGCGGCAGCAATTTAAAATATCATCAGGGGTGCCAGGATTGGAAGCATCAGCCTCCCCTAAAATATTTGGAGACTAAAAACTAAGAGAAAAAAGTTATCTAGTACAAGCACCACAGTGTGTGGAGTTCCCGTCGGACTCGTGAATATTTTGGGAGCGGATCCACTTGTCACCGGTTTTTAACTTCTCTTCGATGTAACGGCAGGCGTCGCGGGCGCAGCTGCACAAATCAAAACTCAGAAGGAACTTACTTGACATGCAATATATAAAGACCGGTTAACTTTGTCGCAACCCTTTTTAAGGGTGTCCAGTTCTTTAAGCACTAACGTACATGCACCGCAGATAACAAATAGGCAAACTAGTGCAAGGGCTCGAAGGGCAACGAACCGCTCAAGGGGACTATAACAACGAAGCGCTTCATTTCAACAAGCTCCCTAACACCTCTACTAGTAATATGAGAAAAGTGGCGGGTGCTCGATCCAGACCCACGAAAAATACCTTAAGCATTTTAAAAAACACTCGAGTTGCGGTATTACAAAGAGGGTAGCGCTGTTATAGCTGGTCCGCTGACGCTTTTGCTTTTTAAATTGGTTTTCCAGCGACTCAACTTGCAACTGAAGGCGGCTTTGTGCCATTGCCTTCATCACTTGATTTCTTTTTTTCTCCTGCAAAACCAGACGTTAAAGTTTTTCTCTAAACAGAAAGATGACATGGAGACCTCTTTAGAAAGGGCAAACTGACGGCGCTTATGCCGAAGTTTAAACAGTAACTGTTCCTGGTCTTTAGAGGGGTCTTGAAAAAACTCTTCAAACTAAATATTTAAAAGCGCATTAAAAAAAAAGTTTAACGAAAAAGAATCCCCCGGTAGACCATATTGCTTTCTTCGTTGTGAACAAAAAATGTTATGGTAGGAAGGGTGGCCATGACCCAACCGCAGCTGACAAATCTGGCCAGCCGATGTTCATAGAGCTCTTCGCGAGTTTTAAGAGCACTCCAGCACCTTATAATTACATATAAGATGTACAGCTCACACAAAAAATGGTCAAGACTACTCGAAACCGGCAGGCGGGAAAGTAAAAACTTGGTGAATGGTATTGAATGGCAGGCAGCCCCTCAATATAATATCTTCCGGAAGGGCTGAAGCAGCACAGAAACAATATTATCTACATAAATACCGAGCGGTAATAAGAATTTATACCCGGAACTTGTATTTTCGAGCCGCTTCCAATTCGATCGTATAAACAAATCCACTTTTTACGAACGTCACACATCAACTCCGATATTGATGTTTTCGATTCCACAATGCTCTTTCACAATAACCGAATAATATGAAATACAAAGGCTGCCAACGCATATAATTTAAAGACCGAAAGCCGGTTTAGGAACTCGACTAAAACCGCCGAAGAAGCAGACGAGGGATAAAAGGTGTTGATAGCCTGAATATGATAGCAGCTATACATCTTCACTCAGACGAAATATGTGGGTGCACTTACGTTCAGTCCGCCCTGAAGCAGCGTTGCGTTAATCTCGCACTGGCACAAGAGCCACTGGACAAAAATCCCAAGGCCTGCACATGCAAACCACGTAACTAATATTGTGTGAGTGCCATATTTAACTGTACATCTCAGATCATCAACCAAAAGGTCGTGGTAGGAGTCGAAATAAACAAGAGCATTCTTTACACTTATTAAGAAGAAGCGAATACACATGTGCATGGCCAGAAACGAGGTGGTCTGGCTGGCATCATGATTTCTATTGGAGGCTGAAAGAGGCAAAATAAATTATAGATAGCACCAAGTGGAAACAAAAGGCAGAGACTCTGCGTAACAGTCAGCATATGTACTGAGATAATGTTTATCACAAACACTTTTAGCATAAAATTCTGCAGAAAGGAAAAAATCTTCAGCAAAGAAGCGGCAGCTAGATGGTGGCACGCTGAAAGGATGATAGTCCCCAGCTTTAACACGTCCTCATATAAGTTAACGGCCTTCTCAAAACTGTATATATAATGATAATAGCGATAACGTCTTATGTGGAATAACACGCACCCGCTCTTGTTAAGAATAAGGCTGTGAAACTCCAAGAAACTCACGCAAAAGCAATAAAATACATTTTGAAGTTCCTCCATAAAACTAGGTTATCATTTAGCCAATACCTACTGAAGAGAGCGGAAGGTTAAGGGTTTACCGGGGATCCTCAAATGTCTTCGATTCCATTGCGTTGTTGAGGTAACAATAGCGTTCTTTCGATATTACATAAACACGAATTCGAAAAGATCAAAAGTAAACGTGTATCACGCACCGGAGTTTTCAGAGAAAGAAGAAAACTCACTCCGTACGCGCAGAAACGATTGATGGTTACGATCAAAAAGGGCTGCAGAGCGTGAGCACTGAATTCATACAATGGCAGATAATAAACAACCTCTGACATTATCGAGGGCGCTGGAAGAGGATCTGACAGCTGAAAAGCTCCTATAATAATAGTACACACTATCCACACCACTTTTCCCCCCTGTCATAAATATTGTATCGGTGCTTCAATCCAAAATACCGGTAAGATGTAAGGGAAACCCGCCGCTAGGACGCCCAACTGGTTAAAAGCCCGTCCGTCTTCCGGGAAAAAAAAATAGGCCTGGTAATAGTACTGTTGAGCAAGCACATAGAAGCCTCCAAGCTGTTCGCGATCGGTAAGTCCGCCCTGGTACCTTCCGTTAACAATACAATAGCAAAATGCAAGAAAGACAAGGAGTTGAAAAAAATGCCTGGCCAGGTCACCGAGATATATAAGTGTGCGATAGCAGGATGGTTTCCCTACAGCAACTTCTAAAAGAACCAGAATAAGGAAAGCAATAAGACGCGGAATAAATTATGAAACCGTTTTTTCCAAGCAAAGGGATGCTATTGTCCTTCCTTATAATATACTTTTTTTTCTTAGAGGAACTTTTACCGCTTATGTCCAAATCACCCAGCAGATCATTAACGGGGATATAGTTTCCTCCGCCAGGCGAATAGGAAGGCATTAAAGCTTTTGTAGACGCATCCGACTGTGGAGGAGAATGGTTAAGAAAATCGACGTACTTGGGCAGTGGCAAGTGAAAATAGATGAAAAATTTGCGCAGCAAGATCTTGAAATATGATTAGAGCATTAACAATTAAAAAATACTAACTATAAATGTAAACCTGGTAGAAGCCAGAGGCTTCGTTCAAAAAGGATAAAAGCAACTCCTTTAATAAATTGCGTGAAGTTTCCTCTCCAGTTCCTACTCTGCCGATAACATTTACTTCAAGAGTGGTGCACTAGTTATATTTACTTTTCCTGCAAGCCTTGAGCCTACTTCGACAACTCTCAATCAACTGAAATAAACAGAAGAGCAATTAAGTTAATATATAAATATATTTTAACGCTTTATAAGGGGTTCAACCATATAAAAGCCATATTTCCATAAAGCCGACTCAACGTCTAAGTCAGAGCCACAAGTCTTACTAAAAATAGTAAAAATAAAATATTTTTTGATATATACCTTTAATGTAACAATAGTCGTAGTGAATAAAAAGCATCTTAAAATATATATCTTTTAGTTTGTAACGCAAATCGTGCAGCTTTCGATCGTTGAGGTCTAAAAGTAGGTTAACGTTTATGTGTTAAGTAATATTTAGTTAATAATAAATAATAATAATAAACTTATAGCCCAATAACCTTCGTCTTTTTGAATAGATTGCAGTTGAGTAGTTATGATATGTTCTAGGGTTTGACATTCTCTATGTAATAATAACATAGAAAAAACAGTAAAGGGTAACTTAAGTAATCGTATAACGTACGCATGTAAGGATTTAACTGCGTGCAACGAGTTTTCCGCGTTAACCATATTTATGATTAAATTAGCTGCTTGTATTTTAGAGAATTAATTCTTTTATGAAGTTTAAAAATTAATTTATTCCACTGCAAACACTTGTTGCAAGACCCTAAGAATAACTGTTATAACACTAATATAATTTAAAAACTCATAACTTTGAACGAATAAAATAAAGCCTTTTTTACAACCTTGCTTTTTTATGGCCGGTACCCGGAAAGTCGAGCACAGTCGTTCAGGCCTTAAATCAAACGCAAGTGGTGGGTCCATACACCAAAGGAACGTCATGAGTAAGCTGAACTAATAGAATATTCATGAGAGCGAGGGTAAATAAGCGACCATCAAAGACTGAGAAATAGAGTTGCGTCGGTGGGAATGGAACCCACGACCTTGAGTATGCGCTTTAATTCTCTTAACCGCTGAGCTACGACCACAACTCTCGATCCCGGTAGGCTGGTTAAACGTACTTAACCTTTTACTGAGAAACTGGAAGACGTACCGGACTCGAACTCCTGCCATGGGCCAAAAGTTGCGGAAACCATGTAAAACTACCTTCAAATAGGAGTTCCCAAGAAATAGACAAGAGGCCCTCTGACACCGACACTCCAACAGGTTAAATACGTAAAGTCATCATAACAAGGTTTTATCGTTCGTAGCTCAACAACAAAAAGCATTGACGCCCATGCTCAAGGTCGTGGGTTCGTTTTCCACTGACGCAGCTCTATTTTCGGTCTTTGAAAGTCGTGTATTTATCCTCGCCCTCAAATTCTATAGATAGCTTTATATAAACCTAACACTCTGGAAATTTACTTCTCATTTCAGCTACTGTGGTAGTGTCTGCAGAGCTATATACTCGCGCTTACTAACAAGTTTTCCTATTAGTGATATTAAAATAACAGCAAAGAGCAAAGCCTTTTTTATCATAAAGAACTGCACTTTTTACTACCTCTTACATTGACCTTCTAGACGCTACTATCCCCTTACTGTTAGACTATATAAATCAGGAGTTTTTATTGACCATAAGTTGTTGTGTAGACAACACGTTTATTATATAGCGGAAAAAGCCCAAAGCGCTCACGTATTGCACCCTTTACTTTGAACCAAACCTTCATTGAGCAACTGATGGCCCTTGTTTGCGTTCTGTAGTGGATCAATTATAACTTAAACGTCGGCTGGCTGAGCCTACGCCTTTATTATAATAAAACAAGTATCTACTCGTCATGATGTGCTCGCTTTGGTTTACGCAAATCAATGCTTTACATGAAAAATAATAGCTGCAGTCTCTGAAGATCACTTGTTACGCAACACCGCCTAATTCTTTCAATGACAAGGCAATTCTACTAACAAACTTTTTACAGGGAAAAGAACTTACGAGACATAAGACGAAGCACTTTACCCACCATTCACCTCATTTAGTTTTTTTCATAATTAAGATAAGGGTTAGGTTTAAAAAATTAAAATAAGTAACTCCTCCATAAGTTTTACTTTAATATAACTTAAAACAGGGTGTTCGTTGACTTAGCGAGTATCGGAAAATAGCATCTATTCATTTGGCTTATAGAGGCGCAAATCTTTAACAAATCTAACTATACTATTAGTTTTCTAATATCTACTATTTCGTCAGAGAGAATTTTTCCTCAGCTTATAAGTGTATTATATAATTCTATGAGGTTTTAATTGAGTTTAAGTTAAGTCTTTAGATGCTTAAATAACTCGCTGAATGTTTGTTTTGGACTAAGCCTAAATTTTTGAACGCTAATAATATTTTTCCGCTCAACTGTCTATCAACTTTTCGCCAAACTCTTTTTTATACTTTTTCAGCAATGCCATTACTTTGATGCCTATTAACGGAAACTACATAGTTAGGCAAAAGTTCTTTCTTAAGATTAAAACAAACACTACAAGAAATAAATGAGAATAAACCAATATTTGAACTTTAATAGAACTATGGACACGTCAAATTACATTTTATTTCAAATGGCCTATGAGCCGAAAAGTGCATAATTTAACCATGAGGTAGATTAAACCAGTAAATATTTTTGGAACACAATATAAATAACCCACCCCAGTTTTTGTGCAAGAAGTTTATGTCGATCTTACATTTTGGTGTGCTATGAAGTAGAGACGCTATGAACACCTTGATAGTTTTGTGTGTAATTAGTACTAGGTATGGTTTTATCATTAAGCTTCATGGAATCTTTTAAAGTCTAGAAATCTATTATCACGAAGCTATCGCTGTTAGTTAATACTATCTTACTGTTTGCCAATAAGTAGTTATAAATCTTACAATAATGGCCCAGCCTACATTACTCTCAGTTACATCTTTTTCCCTTCTCTTTGCGCTTGCGGGTGCTTTCAACTACCTCCTCTACTTTTAAAATGTATAGTTTGGTAAAAAAAAAAATTAGATGAGTCGAAAATACGGTCGGAAGAAATATAGGGAAGTTAACCAACAAATGATGAAGATGGCAAATACTTGAGAAAAGAATACAGTAATAGGAAACCGAGTAGAATTTATGGGATTGATCGCGATATTTTGCAAAATAAATTATTTAAAAAAACGAAACTTATTTAGAAAGAAAGATTTGTAGACTTAGATTAAATTGCAGAAATGAAGAAAAACCGAGACAAGAATATTCCGTAACCTTATACCGTTAAGGCAAGTTTTTCGAAACATAAGGAAGCTGAACTCGCAGATTATTAGGGGACCACCCAATTTTAGCTACGGATTGTCATCAAGCAACTTCTTATGCTAGAATATGAAGTTGCAAAGGCATTAAGACAAATGCAGTTATCCTTCTACTTGAAGTTTATATAAAATGACTGGTAAGCTTTTTTCTTTATAATCGTAATTTCTCTAGATAAAATTTTAGTATTGAGTGGATGATAGGGTTCGTGACTCGCCATGATTAGTTCTAATTACGAAATTAGAAATTACAAGTCTCATGAGAAGTAAGCAAAGGGTGGTGGAATTTTTAAAAAATTACGGTTTTTGAACTGACAAAAATAAGTTTAAACCTGTTCAGTTGTACAGTTTTGATGTTACAGGAATAACAATAGTTATGAGACCTGTGAAAGTTGTAACCACATATGGTAAGAGACAAGCTGCTCAGATGTCCTCTAGAGAACAAGGAGGAATAGTTACATGTGGGTATTATTAATGTAGTAGGAAGGACAACTCCTCCTAGGTATTTATCTCCAAGGGTTAGAGACATTCCTAGAAATATTTTTAACTGAAGATCTCGAATCCAGTCTGGTCTTCGTCAACAGCTTGGGCTGGATGTTCAAGGCAAATGAATCATTTCCTATTATAACTAAATATCGTTCAAATACCAAATATCCAACATACCATCGTATATTGCTACTCATTGATACTCACGAACTTACACCTCTGTTATATCCATTAAAAAGCCTGGATTGTGGCCTATTAACAGAAGTGCTATTTAGCAGAAATCTTTGTGGCAAGCACAATCAGAGACGACGATGAATATATCGCAGTCAAAGATGACTCAAGAAACTTTCCTCAACCTAGTACCTCAAGCACTAATACTGGAAATGAAATCAATACCTCTATTAGTTACTATTTACTGCCTAGACTACAACGAATATATTAGGTAAAAGATCTTTGGAAACACTTTGACCCCTATCCAAAATTTAAAAAAAAATGAACCAAAAAAGGTTTGCAAAAGAAAGAGAATCTAAACCAAAAATTTACACACTAACACCAGGGATGATGAATAAAGATCTATTGGAAACGGAGAAACTAAGAAAAGAATAATGTATGTAAAGAGAAAAAAACTAAAAGGCAACTATTTCCTGACTATATAAATAACTATTAACGTTCATATTCACCTAATACATTTTTTTACTAAATTCCCTAGCTATTAGTTAATGGCCAAGGTTATCATCCAGCGCAAGCGAATCTACTCCACTAGCGGGACAGTTTTAACCAAATGCCAAACAAGTTTGTAAGTACAAAAATCACAACTTTATTCATATTGTTTTACATCGCAAATCACTACCATCTGAATAGACAAAGTTTATAGTTCATCCTTATGAAAATAATAAAAATTATGTTTTTTTTATAACCGATATGTAGACAAAAAGTTAAATTTGATATTATCACCCACCCTTTCACCTACATGCATATACGCAGGATTGTAATATTCGAGGCCACTCACCTACGAAATCGAGCACCATATTCACTTCAAAATTAGGCATTGCTTGTAACAGGGTTGAATTTAATTGCTTTAAATTTCTGTCTTGTAGAGCAGATATTTCCTCTAACTGTGACCAGATTTTGTACTAAGAATTTAGTTCAAAACTTGATGAGGGGCCGACTTCATATCTAATGAAATCGACGTTTTGGCGGAAAAATCATTCTTGCCAAGATTTTGCATAGTAATATGGTAGATAAGCCCTGTTAAAAAACCCGGTTCCATTCATAAACTCAGTGGTACTTAGAAACTTTACATTTTCCTCTTAAGTGCCTCCTTAACACTTTAGCCCCAGTTTTGACACCTTAATAAACAAAAGTGAACTTGTGGGGGCCCAGATCTGGCTAGCAACAATTTTGGTCGGTATTTTAGGAGATTTATGTCTGATACTCAGGATGAGTTTTAGCACAATTATGTCAAACACATCTAGAAATGCCCGTATCGGTCATTAAAAAGTCACCACTGGTAGACTGCAGAGGGCCTCAGATAAGAAATGTCCTTATAAACCATAATAGATGCGGGATGACCTCTATGAATAATGAAAAACCTTTTTGGGCGCTTTAGAACTGTTATGAGTACGCACTTTATCATTTTTCTTATTTAACTGTGCTTCGATATTAAAGATTTTTTTCTCTGAAAAAATTTTGAGGCTTGTTACCTCCGTACCAGATAAAAGCAGTTTTGCACTTTCTTGTTTACTTTATTTAATAGGTGCTGTAAAAAGATGCCCTTCCTTTTTTACAGTTAACATCTACTTTGAGGTCCCATTATTATCTCGCTTTAAGGATTCCCTACACCTTCACCTGCAAAGTCATCAACGACTG